TGTATTAAGGAAACGTATTAGTGGTGTATTAACTCTTGAATATATTTTTATTCATACCACCTCAATGACAATAATTGACATTGTATACGTGTATTTATTTTCTGTATGATTATTACATTAGTTTATTGAAGTTATTGCTGTATGATAATCTTTTATGTATACAGTAGAATACAGTGGATATTGGTTGCAGTGTGTAGTTAGTGTTGCAGTTTTTATTGGTTGCAGTGTATTGGTTCAGTGTATTATGGTTGCAGTGTGTATTGGTTGCAGTGTGTGGTTGCAGGTATTGTTGCAGTGTGTATTGGTTGCAGTGTGTATTGGTTGCAGTGTATTGGTTGCAGTGTATTGGTTTTGCATTGGTTGCAGTGTATTGTTGCAGTGTGTATTGGTTGCAGTGTGTATTGGTTGCAGGTATTGGTTGCAGGTGTATTGGTTGCAGGTGTATTGGTTGCAGGTATTGGTTGCAGTGTGTAATGGTAGTGTGTATTGGTTGCAGTGTATTGCGCATATTGGTTGCAGGTGTATTGGTTGCAGTGTGTATTGGTTGCAGTGTGTATTGGGCAGTGTGTATTGGTTGCGTGTAATGGTTGCGTGTATTGTCAGTGTGTATTGGTAGTGTATTGGTTGCAGTGTGTATTGGTTGCAGTGTGTATTGGTTGCAGTGTATTGGTTGCAGTGTGTATTGGTTGCAGTGTGTATTGGTTGCAGTGTGTATTGGTTGCTGTGTATTGGTCAGGTGTGTATTGGTTGCAGTGTGTATTGTTGCAGTGTATTGGTTGCAGTGTATTGGTTTGTGTGTATTGGTTGCAGTGTATTATTGCAGGTGTATTGTTGCAGGTATTGGTTGCAGTGTGTATTGGTTGCAGGTATTGGTTGCAGTGTGTATTGGTTGCAGTGTAATGGTTGCAGGTATTGGTTGCAGTGTATTGGTTGCAGTGTATTGGTTGCGTGTATTGGTTGCAGTGTAATGGTTGCAGTGTGTATTGGTTGCAGTGTGATTGGTTGGTGTGTATTGGTTGCAGGTGTATTGGTTGCAGTGTGTATTGGTTGCAGTGTGTATTGGTTGCAGTGTGTATGGTTGCAGTGTGTATTGGTTGCAGTGTATTGTTGCAGTGTGTATTGGTTGCAGGTATTGGTTGCAGGGTATTGGTTGCAGGTGTATTGGTTGCAGTGTGTATTGGTTGCGTGTATTGGTTGCAGTGTGTATTGGTTGCAGTGTGTATTGGTGTTGCGTGTATTGGTTGCAGTGTGTATTGGTTGCAGGGTATTGGTTGCAGTGTAATGGTTGCAGGTGTATTGGTTGCAGGTATTGGTTGCAGTGTGTATTGGTTGCAGGGTATTGTTGCAGGTGTATTGGTTGCAGTGTGTATTGGTTGCAGTGTATTGGTTGCAGGTGTATTGTTGCAGTGTGTATTGGTTGCAGTGTGTATTGGTTGCAGGTATTGGTTGCAGTGTGTATTGGTTGCAGTGTGTATTGGTTGCAGTGTGTATTGGTTGCAGTGTATTGGTTGCAGTGTGTATTGGTTGCAGTGTGTATTGGTTGCAGTGTATTGTTGCAGTGTGTAATGGTTGCAGTGTGTATTGTTGCAGTGTGTATTGGTTGCAGTGTGTATTGGTTGCAGTGTATTGGTTGCAGTGGTATTGGTTGCAGGTGTATTGTTGCAGGTATTGTTGCAGTGTGTATTGGTTGCGTATTGTTGCAGTGTGTAACAGTGTGTATTGGTTGCAGTGTGTATTGGTTGCGTGTGTATTGGTTGCAGTGTGTATTGGTTGCAGTGTGTATTGGTTGGTGTGTATTGGTTGCAGTGTGTATTGGTTGCAGTGTGTATTGGTGGTAGTGTATTGGTTGCAGTGTGTATTGGTTGCAGTGTGTATTGGTTGCAGTGTATTGGTTGCAGTGTGTATTGGTTGCAGTGTGTATTGGTTGCAGGTAATGGTTGCGTGTGTATTGTTGAGTGTGTATGGTTGCAGTGTGTATTGGTGTGTGTGTATTGTTGCAGTGTGTATTGTTGCAGTGTGGTTGCAGTGGTATTGGTTGCAGTGTGTATTGATAATGTATACTGGCAATCTGGTTTATTGGCCGTTGTGTATATTGGTGATGTACAGTGTGTATATCTCAGTAATACAGTGTATAGTGTGTGTGTGTGTGTGTGTGTGTGTGTGTGTGTGTGTGTGTGTGTGTGTGTGTGTGTGTGTGTGTGTGTGTGTGTGTGTGTGTGTGTGTGTGTGTGTGTGTGTGTAGGAGACGTATACATTTTAGTGGTGGGTCGTGGACTGTGAGGGAAGGAGGGAAGGATGGTTGGAGGAGAGGGAAGGATGGAGGGAGGATTGAGGGAGGAGGGAGAGGGAGAGAGGGAGGGATGGAGGGAAGGGATGGAGGGAGGGAGGAGGAGGAGGGAGGGCTCTATTGGACATTAGCAGTCAGTTAACGTAACAGGTAGACCATGATACCTGGACGACGCTGAGAATACTACCACCATCCCGCTACTGTGTGACCCCAGCCCTTACTCAGCCCTCAGTCCCTTCCACACAGCCCCAACTCAGCCCTTAGTCCCTTACTCCAACCCCACACATCGGTATAGGGATGGGTGGTAACTAGGAAACTGTATAACTGGGCGGCATGGGGGTGGGTGGGTGGGTGTGGCTAGCTATTTGGGTGCAGGGGGAGACGGCGGGCGTGGGTGTTCGGACAATGGACGCCACAATAAGGGTTTGGACGGGGACAATACTGGCCGGCCCCCACGGAGACATAAACACGCCCACCCTGGGACACTTGTCGTGGCCCCGGGATTAACTCTGGATACTTAACGTCGACGCCCGATAGTTTGTTGTGGGCGTAAGGTCGGCTATTGCCCGAGAGCCCGTCCTGCCTTCCTCCCAGCCACTCAGCACCACGATTGGCTCTTCAAGTTAGTGAGGGAAGACCTGTGCCTTATGGGGAAGAGAGGCAATGAGGAAGAAGAGGTCGAGGAGAAGAAGGAGGCGAGGAGGAAGAAAAGGGCGAGGAGGAGGAGGAAGGCAAGGCAGGGAAGGGGTTGCTCTGGTTCCTCCACCCTCTCTCTTCCTCTCTTTCCCTAACCCCACTTCTTCTTTCCCTATTACGTTGCTTATCACACTCGTTTATCGGGGTCTCTCTCTCTCTCTCTCTCTCTCGTGTACAGGAGACCTTGAAGGTTCACTATAGATGTTGACACTGTAGTTTATTCCCCCCACACACACAACCCCCGATGATAGTATGGGGATTGTTTTAACCACTAATATGAACCTCTTTAAGTCAAGTGTTTCTCTTTTTCAACCCCTGACAGAACCCAGTAAGTCAATAACACACATAGAGGTTCCAAAACAATATAGGGTCTGGTTGAACCTATTATAAAAAAACTCTCAAGTCAATCTGTGTTTACACGCCCAAGAAGGTCCAACTCCCCCCCCCAAATAAACACATATTTCATACCTTCCTTCAGGCTCACAAACACACAACAGCTACACAACGACGACATAAAACAAAACATCAACTTTCACACAAACCACAAACAAACGACAAATAAAACAAACACAAAGGCAAGAAAACAACCCCACCCTCCCTTCAACGCAACCCCCAACCCCACCAAACCCCCCAACCCCTACCCAAGCCTCCACCACCCCAGAAAGTGACCAAATTAATGGGCCTTTGATAGAAAAAGTTCATATATAAGGTTCTTAAGAATTCGTATATGTATATGTATACCTGGTGTATTTATGTGAACGGATGTCTGTCTGTAAAAAATGGGTGGGCAGTACATACAGCAGCTGCTTGTTATTATTATTGGCGGACGATCCTAATTGCTCCGATACTAATTAATATTCATTTCCACGAAGAGACCTTGTAAGTGGAATGGTTATTGTGGTGATCTGCATACGCTTGTGTCCATTTGCCCCGGCCAGCTGCTTCTCCCTTTATTTATTCAGGCTGGGCATATTCTTTATTGTCACATTAATAATTATTTAAGAGGTTCGCTGGCGTGCATGTTTAACGCTGATCCTGTGGCATGATTGGTTGTTCATTTGTTGAGGAGACGGGGATGGGATGGTCTTAGTCTACGGTGTGTATGTTAAATGATAATGGTCTTGTTCTTCTTTGTTCTTCTTCTTGTTCTTCTTCTTCTTCTTCTTCTTTGTAGATAGGTCAGAGTCCTTTCGGATTTTCCAAGGCTTTTACATCATACTTTTTTTCTTCATTCCTTCTTCCTCCCTCCCTCCTCTTTCCTCCTCCCTCCTCCTCCTCCCTCTTTGTTCCACTCATTTTCTCCTCTCCTCCCTCTTCCTCGACTAAGAAAATTGAGACTACTTGTTCCGGTAAACTCTCAACCCAAATCGACCTTACTGTGTCCCTTACCGCCCCTCTCGGTACATTAAGTGAGTCAGTTAGATGCGTTCTCACATCATGCTTCCAAGACACCCAAGCAACATAGCTACCTACCCCAGTTGCTTCCGTCGACCACACTCGTAACAGCACAGGTTGTTTGAGTGCTCGTTTGTACCTGACTGTTATGAGAGGCTCGTGGTTAACATATTGATTTTAATGGGTTATATTTTTTTTAAGTTGTGGTATTTAGAACATAATGATTTGAGAAGTGTATATTGTATAAACTTTTTGTTGATTTTAATCTTATGGAAGGTGTGATGTTATGTTAATGATTTTTAAGGATGGTTAATTTAATTTGATTTGTTGTTAACTTAAGGTAAGCTAATTTAACCCAATTGTTATTTCATGTTTTCTCAAGTCACTCACTCTGTCCGTCTGTACCAGTCACTCTTTAACATTTCTATGTCACCAGTCACTCACCCCTCTCTCTCAGTCACCAGTCACTCACCCCTCTCTCAGTCACCAGTCATCACCCTCTCCTCTGATCACCAGTCACTCACCCCTCTCTCTCAGTCACCAGTCACTCACCCCTCTCTCTCAGTCACCAGTCACTCACCCCTCTCTCTGTCACCAGTCACTAATTGTCTGTCTCCTGCAGTATCCTGGAGCTTCGGAAGGAAAAGTCGAGAGACGCCGCCCGGTCCAGGAGAGGGAAAGAAAATTACGAGTTTTATGAGTTGGGCGAAGGTGAGTGTTGTGTTGTGTTGTATGTGTGTGTGTGTGTGTGTGGTGTGTGTGTGTGTGTGTGTGTGTGTGTGTGTGTGTGTGTGTGTGTGTGTGTGTGTGTGTGTGTGTGTGTGTGTGTGTGTGTGTGTGTGTGTGTGTGTGTGTGTGTGTGCACTTCAAAGTTCCTACGTATGTATTTGAAACTCCTGTGTGTGTGTGTGATTGAACTTCTGTGTGCACATGAACTGTTGTTGTGTATAACGTAAGATCGCTGCTGTGAGTGCATTTTAACAAGGCAGTGTGTATGCTTGTGGTAACCTAATGACGTCATACAACACACAGACATTCCTAGGTGAACTGAAACACCTGACTGGACAAAACGGAGGTATGGAAGGACAAAATAAGGTATGACTGAATAAAATGGAGGTATGACTGGAAAAAATAAGATGTGGCTGGACAAAATTAGGTGTGGTTGGATAAAATAAGGTGTGGCTGGACAAAATAAGATGTGGCTGGACAAAATAAGATGTGGCTGGACAAAATAAGATGTGAGGTGGATGAATGGAGGTAAGGGTCGGCGTGGCAGGTCCCAGGGGGTGAGACACGACCCTAAATACGTTTCTTCAGGGAGGGTCAAATTGATTACGGGAAAACTTGTCAAAAATATTGTTTACGACTGTGTGTTTGTCTGTTTTTGTTGTGTGTTTGTCTGTTTTTGTTGTGTGTTTGTGTTTATCTTTATGTGTTTTCTATTGTGTGTTTGGGGCTGCTGTGTTTGTTTTCGTTGTGTATTTGTTTTCTATCTACTGATTGTCAGATGGTTGTTTTGTATGTGCTTTATTGATTTTGTTTTTGCTTTCTTTTGCCTTTTTCCATGTTTTGTGTGTTTGTTTGTTTGTTTGTTTGTTTGGTGTTTTATGCAATTGTCCATTGTCTCTTTGTATGTTTCTTTGTCACGTGTTTCTTTGTATGTATACAGTCTATTCATAATTCAGTTGTAGAAATACATATTTATACATCGGGGTGGCGTGTGTGTGTGTATGTGTGTGTGTGTATGTCCTCTTTAATAGGACTTAGCCCTCTTTAATAGGACCAAACCCTCTTTAATAGGACCTAACCCTCTTTAATAGTACTTAACCCATTTTAATAGGACTTGGCCCTCTTTAATAGAACTTAACACTATTATTTTTTTCCTCCTGTGTGCCGCAGATGTTGCCGTTGCCTCCAGCCATCACCTCCCAGTTGGACAAGGCCTCCATCATCCGCCTCACTATCTCCTACCTCAAGTTGCGGGAGTTCACCTTGCACGGAGATCCTCCTTGGCCCCGCGATCATATCTCCGCCAACAAGTCACTCAAAGGTATGTCCTCCAACGCACTCTACCCATTATATTATGTTTTCAACGCACACTGCCCGTTATAATATGTTTTCAACGCACTCTAACCTTCATATTATGTCTTCGACGCACTCTATATGTCCTTCGTGAGATGATCGTGTCTTTCATTCGTTCGTTTGGGGCTGAGTATTCCACCTGTTGATTGAGCCTATCCTACTAGCCGTTCCACAAGTCTCCGTATGTCTTATACTTGTTCCACGACCCTTACAAGTTCTCCACACTCCCTAAAAGGTTTCCACGCCCCTGACAAGCTTTCCACGCCCCCCGATAAGCTTTCCACGCCCCCTTACAAGCTTTCCACGCCCCCTTATAAGCTTTCTTTCACCCCCATTGCTGCTTTCCACCCCCTCACAACACCTCCACACCCATGCGCGTCACGTCCCCGACATGCTTTTCTGACGCCCCCCGATAGCCTTTCCACGCCCCATAACCTTTCCACGCCCCGATAACCTTCTTCCACGCCCCCCGACATAACCTTTCCACGCCCCCGATAACCTTTCCACGCCCCCCTTACAAGCTTTTCACGCCGCCTTACAAGCTTTCCACGTCCCCTAAAAATCTCTCCACGGAAGACCTACCTGGCGGAGAACCTACCTGACGAAGGACCTACCTGACGGAGGACCTACCTGACGGAGGACCTACCTGACGCACGACCTACCTGATGGAGGACCTAGTATTTCATTCTACTTGTTTTCTTTCTTTTCATTTCTTTAATAATTGTGTTTTTCCATCTTTACTTTCTACTCTGGACATAAGAGAGAGGCGGTGGTGGGTCGTGGTCTCAAGGTCTGGTGGATACTGACACACGTGCCTCGCCTCAAGCCCTCTGTTTTCTTTCTTTGTTTTTTCTCTGTTTCTCCTGTTTTTTTATGTTTTTTCTCTGTTTTTCCACTTTTATGTGCTTTTCCTTTGCCTTACTTTGTTTTCTTGTGTTTAATTCTTTGTTTTCCTTTGTTTTTCCACTGTTTTTTCTGTTTCTCTCTATTTACCTATTCCTCAGATTTTCCCATGTTTTACTTCTCTATTTTCCTCTGTTTTCCTTCTTTATTCACTGCTTTTCCTGTTTTCATTCTGTGTTTTCTCCGTTTTCTTCTATTTTTCCATTGTTTTTCCTCTATTCTACCTCTGTTTTTTTCCTGTTTTTTCCTTCTTTTTTTCTTTAATCTATGAACACAGCTGAGAGTGTAGGTCACTGGGTGCTGCTGAACACACACTGATCGTGGAAGTATGCGTGAGGGGCGGGTGGGGAGGGGGGGGGGGTCTTTTTTCTTTTTCCTTTTTTCCTTCGTGAGAACCATTGACCTGCATCACACGAGATACCGCTGCCAGGCCGCCGTCACCCACTGTCACACCGTCACAGATCACTGAGATTCATACCCCGGGTTTCTCACTATCATGTATGTATGAATTTATTTACTGTATGTATGTATGTATGTATGTATGTATGTATGTATATATTTACTGTATGTATGTATGTATGTATGTATGTATGTATGTATGTATGTATGTATGTATGTATGTATGTATATCCCCGTAGGTAATATCTGTGAACGCGTCTATGAACTTTTCACTAAATAATTACATTCAATAACTGTGTCAGGTAAGCGCGTTCTTTTGTGCCAGATTCAAGTATGGTACAAGTTACAGCTGTTATGTACGGTGCAGTTATTATGTATGGTACAGCTGTTATGTATGGTACAGAGAATCGGAATAATTAGTAAATAGGTTATATATAATGTAAAAAATATATCCCTCACGCGTCTAAGATATATACCTACATCAGTCAGATCAGGAAAGATATTTAGTGGACTGATTATAGAGGTATCCAATGAAGTGCCTCAAAAATATGTATACACACTGCTTAACAGGTTCTGGTGGCGTGTTTGTATGATAACGGCAACATTGTATGAGACCTCAACATTCTCTTCACCTGTAGGAGACGTCAGCATTACCCTTTCACCTGCAAGAGACCTCATACGTTAACAAATGATGACAACGTTGCTCATTTAATACAAACATTCAAGCGATCGCCACGAAAATTTATAAGTGTGTATACATTTTTTGGAGACAACTTGTATTCTGTTGCTTGTCTGACTTACCGAGTGGGACCTTGTTGAAACTTGTGACGTGTTTCAAGAGGACAGACAGAACATGTGGCTTGAGCAAACACTTGACCCAGCGCCTCCTCAACCTCACACTCGATCCCTCAACCCTCGCCCCTCTCCTCCTCGACCTCCTCCCCCTCCACCGTCTCCCTATCCCTCTCCTCCTCGACCTCCTTCTCTCCACCCACCCTCTACTCACACATTCCCCCTCCACCCTCCCCCTCGACCCTTCTCCTCGACCCTCCCCCTTGGCTTGAGATGAGTAATCTCTGAGAACCTCGACTGTGATCCGACAGTGAGTGACACACGTCAGTTTGGTGAAGGGAAGACCTCTACTCAGTCACTCACACATTCACTCCGTCCCTCACCTCGTCTCTCACTCACTCACTCACCCCTTGCTCCACCACCTACTTCATCACCACCACCACCCACCACCAACACTCCTTGCACCACCACCTCCCCCATCACCACCTCCCCCACCTGCTACTTCCCCAGGAGGCATGAGGGCCAATCTAATGGCCCAAAATGACCCACTGAACCATGATGGCCCTGGTGGAACATTAGTGACCACCTGAACCACTGGACCATGATGGGACCAGGTGGAACAGCGACAGGTGGAAGGAGGGGAAGAGGAGGAACAAGAAGAGGGAAAATAGGAAGAGAAAGAGATAGCAGGAGAAGGAAGAGAACGAAAAGGAGGAAGGGGATGGAAAAGAAGAGTGAGAAGAGGATGAGGAAGACGAGGAGGAAGAGGGCCACCACCAGACAACCTGACATCTGTCCATCACCCTCGCCGTCAGCCACTCACCGCGACAAAACAAGACTCACGCCCGTAATCCAATATTTATTCAGTGACTCATTTCCACAATTCTCTCGCTTTTTCTCCAATTTCCCCTTCCATTGGGATTTCGCCCCCCCTCTTTTTCTTCCCCTCTTTCTATCCTCTCAACGGCCTGCCATCCCTCCTCCCTTCCCTCTGTTTTCCCTCCCACTCCAGCCCCACCCCCACTCACCCCTCCCGCTTTTCTTCCTACTCCAACCCCTTATCCTTTCCTCCTCCTCCCTCATCCTCCCCTCCTCTCTCCCTTCCTCCTTTCCTTCCTCCCTTCTCTCCCTCCCTCCTCGTATTAATATTCCCTGATAAGGTAGAGCCTCTTCATACTACCACCGCCCGAAATGGGATTACAGAACGGGAATCCTTGTTTTATCAAGAAATATCTCGGTGATTTTGGCGATCCCAGTAGGTCGAGTCTGCCCTGTGCCGCACCCTCCACCCCCCAGCCTTCCATCATACCCCCACCCCTCTCCCTAACCCCCTCACACCCCTCCACCATACCACCCCACCCTCCCCATCCCATTCCACCACCTGTCACGGCCTAAATAATCCCCTTCGCTCCTATTACGTAAGGGTCAGTTTTCAATGGGAAGGAAAGAAGGAAGGGAGGGGGAGAGAGTGAGTCCCATTGCATTCGTAACAACTTTTTTTTTCCTTTTTTTTTTCATAAGATATAATTTGGGACAATTGTATAACTGGCTGGACAATGGCGCTTTATTTCATATTTTATTGTCTCTTTCCACCATATATGTATTTTTTTTCCTTTATTTTCCTTTTTATGGCATTGTGGGTAATTTTCTTGGACATGGGGAAGGAGGGAGAGAGAGGGAAGAACACATACGTTTGGATATCGACAGCGATCTTAGGGACACGAAATATCAAGATCATACCGAGAATGTGTCTTTATATTACGTATCTTAGTATGTATCTCCATAGTATACATATCTTCATTGCATGTATCCCCACGTACACCCTAAGATGGCGTCTCACGTAAACAAAATAAAACAGTGAGGTAAATTGGGGTCGTGTGGTGGCCTCTGTCCGGTCCTATTTACTCAACAAATCCCTCCATTTGGCCTCAGATCCGAACATTATCCTATTTTTCTATTTTTCTCTGAGTCCCTGTGATCTGTCCTCGGCTGGCCCACTGTGTATGCAAAAATTGGTTGGGTAAACAGTATTCTTTTGTTCCCTGGCAGCTGTGAGAGGTGGGGAAGGTGGGGTGAGGGGTGGGGATGAGGGAGAGGAGAGGTGGGGGTGGTGTGGGGAGATGCTTGAGGTGGGTGAAGAAGGAGGAGGGAAGAAGGAAAGGTGGAGGAGGGTCAAGGCAAGAGGGAAGGGAAGGGAAGGGAAGGGAAGGGAAAGGGTATGGAAGAGGATAAAGGAGTAAAGGGGGGGGAAGAAGGGGGGAAGACAGAAATTATACTAAAAATAATACAACAAAAGATTTACTGTAATGTATTGTCCAAGAAGATATAAATTTATCATACAATAGAGGTAATGTATGATAAATTTATTTGTTTTATTTATGAATGTATGAGAGAGAGACATACACGGTGTTTGTAGTGTTTTGTGTATATATTAATGGTGATAAACATTCCGTGGATCATCTTCATCCTGTGTCACATTCCTTACCCCATGTCCACCACCACTATCACCAGCACCTTCTCCACCAACTATCACCACCAGCACCTCCATCTTCTCCACCACCAACAGGATCCTTCATTTCCTCTCGGTTAGATGTTTTACCCTCTGGAGCCCCTTGAGGCCTCGTCCTTCAGGCGTGACCCACCTGACGCAGGACCTCAAGAACTGGACTGATGCCGCCCATCACTCTCCCCCCAGCCACCCACCTCCGCCCACCCTCCCTCCTCCACTCACCCGCTTTTTTCAGTCATTAAGTCTCTTTTCTTAAGTGGTGCTCTTACTGTGTGTGTGTGTGCGTGTGTGTGTGTGTGCGTGTGTGTGTGGGCATGTGTGTGTGTGTGTGTGTGTGTGTGTGTGTGTGTGTGTGTGTGTTTTATGTATAGGAAAAGAACACAGGGCCAAGGTGGGGAGAAACGACAAGAGGGCCAGGTGGGGAAAGGGAGAAGGAGAGGCCCCAGGGAAAGACAGGCCAGGAGACCTGCTTACTGCTTCAATTTCTCCACTGAGACAGTTTTGTGTCTTCTTGTGGCCTTATACCTGCTTGCCCCCCCCTCTCCCTCCCTCCCCTCCTTGCTTGCCCCCTTCCCTCCCTACCCCCTTCTGCTGCTATGTACAGGGGTCTCTCTCTCTCTCTCTCTCTCTCCTTTTCCTTCACCATTCCATGCCATCCTCCCTCCCCTCCCCTCCCTCCCCTCCTCCCTCTCCTGTTTTCTCTCCCCGCCCCTCTCCCCGCCCCTCTCCCCACGCAGTAGTGTACACGGGGAGTAAGATGGTGAGGCTTTCACTTAATATAATTAATCCGGTGCAGAAGAGACTGGCAGAGGGTTGGCTGGTGTTGTTCTGATTGTAGGGGGCTACTGCT